CAGAATACTAAATGGAAAACTGTAGGCTTCAACGGTATTAAAAATGCCATATCATTCCTGGATGACATCATTACAGTCATTTTCTTAAGTCAGTTTCTTGGCACTATCACATTTTTTTAATTAATTAATTAATTTCATTTTTCATTGCAGTGAGGTTCTCATCTTGAGCTGACAGATTACGTGCTCCTTCCCCTTCACTGTTTTCTTCTTTTTTATAGAATGTTTGATAGCCAAACTTTTTTTCCCCGAGTCACAGTGCCTGTCTCAGGGGGAAACAACATTCAGAACCCCCATTATTTCAGCCACAGACTTTTTGTTTTCAACAATCCTCAGTCTGGTGGAAACATTTGTGGGAATTCGTGTCTTTTGACTTCCTCTTTGCACAAAAATGTTTCACTTTCTTCATTTGGACTTTCTCTTGCTTCCTTGCTTCAGTGAAGCGTACAGGGTTTTCTCTTTCATTCTTTCTTTCTTTCATTCTGTGCTTTCATTGCCACTAATTTCCCCACTTAACCTAGAGGTAAATGCATTTTCTTATATAGATAATGTCGTGTGCAGATAGTATGCGTGTATACAGATTGTACCAATCTGTTAGTTCAGAATGATTCTGTTTTGCTAACATGACTATAGTGATGAGGGCAAAAAAGGGCAGTGCACATGCTCGATTAATCTGATAGTAATTTTACGCACTTGTTTTTCGTGTACGGTAAGAAGACTTCCAAACACACCTAAGTAATTGAGGGCCAGTGTGTCACAGTCTCAAAGAACAAATTGTGCTTCCAGCCTCATCTGTAATATACCTCGGCTGACTTCAAATACCCGCATTGGACTAAATCGGGCTAATCCCAGCTCAAAGGGATGCCTAAAGTTCACAAAGTGTGGGCCCTTCTTAACAAAGAAGCAGGTTAATTAAGACTCACACTGACTCACTCTACTACAGGTGGGCATGGAGCTGAACAAGTAAGCCAGAGCTGGACAAAATTCATCCTCATTGAATGAATAGAACATTTTATCAGCATGCGTTGATGCATAAAAAATACAGTGACGCAGTAATGATTGTTGTGTAACAGATGATTTTCAGTCCTTCCTGACTTTCATTTTGCTTTTTGTTCATATGTAAGATTCTCATTAAATGAAGTGTGAAAAAAGGTGCCAGCTCTTGGACCCAACAGAGCTAATTATCAGGTCTAATGGCTAACGTGAGTCACTGGTTTCTCTAGCAACCATCATGCAATATCACACATTCAAAGGTGATGAGGGGTAAACTACAAAAGGTGCAACCTTTAGCAGCCTGGATTTAGAAATGTGCAGCTTACAATGTTGTGTTTTCAAAATACAACTATGTACCAACATTTGCTTTGCTATGTTACTTTCGTGACTACTACTATTCATTTGCTTTATTTTGTCCAAATGGATGACACTGGGTAAAACACACTTATTTAAAATATTCATATTCTGTTAATAAAATAAAAAGTTTCCCTTTAAATCTTAAGAATCAAGGAACCACTATTTGTATGGATGGTAACTTCACATGCAGTAATTAGTACAATATATTGTTTGCCCAAGAATAAAATTGTGGCATATATCTAAAAATGGCTTAACTTGCCAAGACCCTGAGGAAAATTCCTAGTGTCCCTACTTTAATTACAACAATACCCAAACAGGTGCAAGCAGAAACTGTAAGAACCTCTATGCATATTCAGTACAGTGAGGCTATAACACCCCACTATTTGAAGTCTCCCACATGTTTGTTTGAATCTAGTATAGAACCATTTGGGCTGACTATGATGCTACATTAGTGCTCAGTAATTTTCCTTGATCTAAAACTTTCTAATTTAGCATTTGATGAGTTTTATTCTAAAGGGTGTTGACACAGACCACAGAGGAATGAAGCTGGGCTTCTTTAGTGCCTATCATCCTTTTTCCACCTCTGATGCAATGGCTCTCAGAAGCTTTGGAGCTAGTTGGCAGCAAAAGCACTGTCCATGTTACTGAATGTTATTGCTTGTAGACACATGGAATGCAAAATTAGAAGTGTGATTAGTGGCGTTGAGTGTCTGTTGCTGTTTCTTTTTTGCAAAACATTACATCCTGGAAACAGCATTTTAGGAATATTTGCAGAAGTGGGTTAATCTAAAACAATTACAGGGCTGAAACATTCTCCACAGAGTCTTGGGAAAAGATCAAAATGTTTCTGAACTGATAGCAGTACTAGCTCCTGGTGTAGGAAACTAAACAAATATTATTTTGCACATATAGCTGGCACATGCTTAGGTAATATGATGATCTAATTAGCACATCTGAAACATCTGTTCGGGTTCTTGAGTAATATAGTACTTTAATATTCTACTATTCAGCCTTGGGCTGTTCATTAATCTAGCATATTAATGTAGAGATGCTTCTGATAAGTTCAAATAGAGAAGATGAAAAAGTAATCATTTTGTAATGACCAGCTCCACAAATAAGTTCAAAATGAAGAGTTAAGTAGGTGCAGCAAACAAGACAATATTTTACCTGCAAATAAATACTAATGCATGTATGACAGTCTTTAATTACACTCCATCTAATTTTACATTATCAGTCTATTTGCACCTGCAATCTAAACCTGGGAAAATATTTTCATCTTTTAAATATATCTCTGCAATCAACGTCTAATACCACTAACACACTCACAAACACACTCACACACTTTTATATCGTTTTTTTGATCAATTTGTTTAATATCCGCTCAGATGCCACCTGACAATAGATTTGTGTTCAGAAGGAAACTGTCTCTAATTAAAGCCTAAAGCATGAAGATACTGCTTGAAACAAAAAAATATCATTAAACGCTTATAATGTTTCATATGCTCATAATCCCTGAACATGCACGCTGGAAATTTGAGACTTTGAGATTTGACAAAAAAAAAAAAATAGACATCTGACCATATTGGGGAAACAAAAAAACAAAACTAGTTGTTGAGTGCAGCACAGTTAATTAAAACAATGGCACCACTCTAGATCTGTCACATCACTTGGCAGTTGCTTTAATTATATATTTTGGTCAATCTGTTCTTCCTGATGTGAGAGGGGATGCCATACACAAGACAACATCTGCTGAGGTATGTCACATGAGCTTCAACATCTGTCCATGTTTTTAAACAGCCTGTCACTCACTTGAGTCATGTTGCATATGTATTTATGCGATCATATTGAGAAAGCGCACACACAATACTGTTAAATGCTGAGAGCTTACATCTGTGCCAGACACAATTAACACTCTTAGATTAAGGAGCAAATCTACATACAAACAGAGAGATTGGCACTACACACAAACACCCAGACACACCCTGTGGCTTGCAGTCATTTTGGTCCCTTATGTTGTCCATCAAGAAGACAGTGGTGACTGTTCTCTAAACTGACTCCACCCACAACGGCTTGTGATCACCTAAGCTGTCAACTAACATCTGCTAAAACTACCAACAAGCCAACTGTGAGACTGGCTCTGAAGATATCTCCACAGAAAATGTGTCACCTACACATGTTCAGAACTCAGCGGCATGTTTTCCCCTTCTATTTTTGCTAATTTTTATGTGGCAAACGTTATCTGCAAAGCCTTGGAGAATGTCAAACTGTTTTGTACGGCTGAAATGTAGGAAGTGTCTTGAAAGCTCATGTTAACTCGTCCTGGTTGGAAATAAATTGTTTACATCAATGTCAAATATTTTCAGTACTAAATAATAGCCATCCTTTGAATGCCACAGTAGCGACATGAATAAAGTATTGTTAGATCTAGTTGGTGTGTGTTTCACAAATATATCACTTTTCACTCAGTGTGGTTCAGAGGAATCAGTCATGTTAGGTTGCTAATCATACCCTGAGTTTTTGAATTTGTGGTTGTTTGTGATGGAATGCCCCTGCGCAAAGCTGTCTTTGGTGCTGGGTATTCTTTGAAGTTGTCTTATCAGCATCTTACCTCTCACTGACACTAGCTGTTTTTTTTCTGTGTTGAATGTGAGTTCAGCACATATTTAACTAAAAAAGTAAATAAATAAAAACCACAGATCCATTTCAGTGGCTCAAGCGTGGCTGTGTAACTGGTGGGATCAAGACATCTGGACATTTTTCTGTATAATAAGGGATGTTCTACTATATAAGGATAATGATAATCTGCCTTATCCCCTCCTGCACACAAATTTATATTTGTGTAGTCCAAGACACACATTTACACAGTTGCAGATGACACAGAAACCCAGAGACACACTAGCTTTCTAGCCTTACTCTCTAAAATCTTTCTGTTCGTAATCCCTTCTGACTCTATTAATATTTCTGTTTCCATGGTGATTCAAGCCCAAATGTTGTACAGATAAGAGGAGATAAGAGCATAAGGAGCAGGGAGATAAGAGCAAATGACCTGCCGAGATCACTACAGAGTACTAGAGGTCAAGCAGAAGAGCAGAAGTAAGTGAGAACAGACCATCCCTGCTCAACTCTTCTGCCAACCTGACAAAATCTTATTTTTTAGCAGTGCCACAATTGAGCAAATACTTGCAGCAACTTTCTTTCTGTCTATGCAATTTTACATATATACATGCCTTACCCAGAGAAGCAAAGCAGACAGTTACTAGTAAGAGAAAGAATGGATAATATAATTTTGGAAATGATTTGGTCTGTTCTTCGTATATCATCACACACAAGCCAGTAACAAATTTGTACTAAATTTTTAACTATCGTTTTACATTTTTACAATCCAGATAGATGGCACAATGACAAAAATGGCATTCAGATAATTCAAATTTGGGACTGTTATTGTCAAAGTAAATCATATCAAATTACTAGAACTGCCAAAGTAGTCATGAATGAGAGTTGTTGAATCTGTGATTTTCAGGACTGTAGATAATAAGACTAAAATATTGCAAGTCTTATAATGAAATCACTGCTTTTCAACATTCTCACAAAATCCACCAAACCAATCACCCATTCCTCAGACAGACCTTACTATGCGCTTGAGATAACTGTACCTGTTTGTTGTTATACTTCGGTTGGCCCGTCTTGTAGCTGTAATCTGAGTACTGGTCTGAGCCAGTGGAATTGTCGTCTCCTCCTGTTCCTACGAAGGTGTTGGTGGCAGGGAGGTCCTGGACCACCTGATGCTTCTGTGAGGCAGATGGCGATTGGGCTTGCAGCTGGATGGAGGGTAAAGGGGAGTTGGAACGGTAGTGTCTGCCTATATCAGGGCTTCCTGGTGAATATGTTAAAGGCAGATGTATCCTGGGGCTATCATTGACTCCATCAAGATTGAACTTCAGACTTTTTTGAAGGCTGACCTCTTCGTCTTCCCCGAGTGGTTTTGGAGACTTCTGAGGTTTGCCTTTCCGTCCACGTTTGCCTTTGGTGTTTTTTGGGGCCTGTTTGGGTGCATATAAGTCCTTGGTTTCCTTTTTGCCAGCTTGATATCCACTCTTGGTTTCTCTTTGGATGCGGTGGCGAATAAATACCACCACCAAGATCAACATTACAACACCTGCTACACCAGCAAGGCTTCCAAACAATATATTACTACGCTGAGCAGCAAAACCATTGTCGGGATCACCAGCAATGTCCCTGTCCAGTGGAGTGTAAAGACTGTGTCCCACTAAGGCTTCCACTAAGCTGACATTTGAAATGGTTTCATTGACATAGATGTGGACCAGGGCAGTAGCGTGGCGTGCAGGCTTCCCCTTGTCACTTACTCGCACCACTAGGC